TAAAGTGATAAAATCTCGAATTTCAATAAAAATTTACCAAAACAAATCTTAAATCACCATGCGAATATTCTTTCATAATACCATCTTGCTGACCAAGGCAAATCTTACCTAATGACTGCTATAAATACCATCTAAACTTGCACTTGAACACACCATTCCAAAAATGAGAACGACAAACCAAGTACAAACCATTCTGAGAGATACTACTGCTTCATTTGCATTTCTATTTACTTTTGATTATTTATGTCAAAAAAGAAAAATTGTAATGATGTAGTAGAACTAATACGTGAGAATGATAATCATGTATTATAATTATTTGATAATTTGAGAAAAAGGTTTTTCTTTTGTCATAGTTAGATTCATATTTTATTGTTTTGTTTTTTAAATGATAAATTAAATAATATTGAGATATTAGCTTTTAAATTAAAATTAAAACTACTAGGATAAAAAAAAATTAATATGTTACTCAAAATAATTTTTATATTGCAAAATAACAAGTATTATGATTCAATCATAGATAGAAATATTTATGATATCGAAATAATATTCATAAACTAAAATTATAGATCTAAATGTTTCATCGTATTCTAATTCTGAATCTTATGCTTGATTGAATATGAGTCAAAAGATCTGCTTATTTTTAAAATGGTATACACTTATATGTCATTTTGTTTTTGGTATAGGTGTTTCTGGGTCGACATTGACCTTAATTTGGAATATGCATTAATCCATGTAGGATTTAACTGGAATTGTTAATCTCTTTTGTTGAAAGTTATAATAGAGTGCATTATTAATTTCAGACACGTGGTTCACTTGCGATCCACCATCACTAAAATTATTTTGATGAAAATTAAATGTTTAAAAAGCTCGCAGATCAAATGGTAGGACAGTTTATATTTGATATTTATATTATTTAGATTAATTAAATGGAATTGTTAGACTCCTTTGAAAAATATATAACTGCAATACAAAATTATTAAACTGCATATGTATTACGGATTAAATCTAAAAATACTAACGTTTAATAAATTATATAACTGTAATACTAAATAGAAAGCTTTAAAAAAAAACATAGAAATAAATTTTGCCCCGCTGTACCATTAATATTAGATATATTTATTTAAATTGATTAAATTATGATTACGTAAAAACAAAAATGGTTTCGTGTTAAATCCTATGATTAATAACTAAATTTTATATTTAAACACAAATAAATACAATTTAAAATTTAAAAATTTTAGTTAACAAAATTTTCCTGCGTATACAACGGGTTAAAATAATAAAGTTATTTTTGTTTGCAGAAAAAAAAAATTGTGTTTTTATATTCGTTTATAAATATAAAACTATTCGAGCTGTAAAAGATAAAGAATTTTATACATTAACTATATTACTTTGAAAATTCACAAAAATACTATTATTTATTACAAACAAAAGTTCAAGTATATTAAACTGTGACAACCTATATAACAATTGAAGAAAACACGGTGAATTCACTGAATGATAATAATTATAAATGTATTTTATACATATAAGTATTTTATCAAATCTGATTTTAATTATACTAAAATGTAGATATAAGTATAGCTTTTCAAATTCAATTCACATAAATTCAATAATAAATATTATTAATTATTATAAACAGACCAAATATATAACACACTAAGATCCATATAAAAATCTTATTTTAATATAGTGTATCACAAAATGAAAAAATAAAATTAAAATAAAATGGACCCATGGTAATGAGTGTGGATTAAAAGATTTTCAAATCTTCTATATTTCGGACAAAATCTTTTGTTCAACAAGAAAGAAAAATTTGATGACCCAGTCGTTTCAGATCGACAACGTCGATTAAGATCGTGTAATTCTTGAAATGTTAATTTTGTGTATGTTCGTTTTGCTGTTAGATACAATAAAACAAAGACACATTAGGTGGAAGGCAGTTAAGTTTGCTAAGCAAAATTTTGAGCTACAACTACACACTTCTACTAAGCCCATTAGGAAAGTGTAAATTCAAATCATTTTTTACACACTATAAATTAATCTACAAATATTATTAGTCACTATAACTCCAAACTATCATTAAACCATCCTCTATTAATTTCATATACTATTTTCAAAAAACCATGTAAGATAGTCGTACATTTACATATACTATCATACAACATAATACTTAGAATATACCAAAAATATATAATAAACCTTTAAAATAAATAAAAATATATATTAGTATACCTACCCCCATCAAACTTGAAATATCTGGGTTAATGAAAACAAACTAATTATCCCTGCACGGCTATATTCCCAATGTCGACTATCAAATCACTAAAGTTTTAAATAATGAAAAATTATCAATACAACCAGATAAACCTACCAAAAAAATATGTTTTTGTTTAACAAAAGGAACCAAGAAATTCCCCCACAATCTAAAGCAGGTACATATCTAGCATATTCTTTGATATATATAAACCACGAAAGATACATTGTTCATGTTGACAATCAAAAGACTATACCAAAAGAACTTTGTATATAACTGTATGCATATACAAACTATAACGGTTAAGGTTTTACATAACAGAATATGCATGAAATACTAGCTCCGTGGTGTACTACGGGGTAAAATCTAGTATTTTATATTTCACTAACTAATGTTGCGTGGGATTTTTCCTAGTATATACATATAAGAGATTTGTGTTCTATAGCTTTATAGTTATCGAATATATCAAAGTTAGTATTCACTTTCTTAGTGTAGGTATGAATTTTGGGTTGTCGGACTCATCGTGGGAGCAATCATCGGTGGATTTTTTCTTACATCCTTCTTCGTACTTCTGTTGTTGGAACAGACATAAATGTACAACAAAAACAACAACACAAAGTCGTATCAACAAAAACTCAAATTGTTTTTTTCTTGTAAACTATATATGTTTCATCAATAGTTCATTAAATAAACCAAACATTTCAGAGGTTTACCAAATAATAATGTTTCGATTAAAACGGTTACAACAAAGCATTTAACTACAACAAATCAGCAAATCACCCTTATATTTTAGTAACTCAAATTAGATAAGAAAATTGTGAAGATTTATAACCAATAGACGTGATCGTTGAAGATTTTTGCTTAATTTTTTAATTATATAAAGTAAAACTTGTAATGGTTCATCAAATATATCAAAAGTTGTAATAGTTTATTAAATATGCTGAAATTTGTAATAATTCGTCAAATAGAGTAAAACTGCGACTTAACAATAATAAAAACCTTAAAAATTACAATAATTAGTCAAATGAACCAAATGTTTCAATGTTTTAGTTAAATGTTTGCAACAAATCTTTTAAATTTATTTTTAGTAATCTCAACTAAAAATATTGTGAAGATGTATAACCAAAATATGCAAGCATTAAGATATTTATCCACTATCATATTGCTTGAAGATGTCTTTCATATAATTTGAACTTTGTAGTAATAATAGCAAAACATCCAAATTATGTGGTATACAACTCATATATACTGATTTAAGTATAAAAGCATTACTACAATATTACCAAATATTTAAGTACAAAGTTGTTAACTCAAAAAATTCACTATATAATCCATCCAAATTCGAGAAAAAAATTGTTGGAATCTTCGTTAGAAAATTATATTTAAAATTAACTAAATGTATGATATTAGTATAGGCATACCAAAAACTTTAGTTAGATAAAGAATTTTGGATTTTTTTCAAACTTAAAATGATGTATGTTAATAAATAGTTTAGTGAGTATAGAATAACGTTAAATTTTTAAGTTCATATTACTTTGATTCATCATAAACAAAAAAAAATATATATGTCTTCAAAAGGGTATATGAACATTTGAATAACAACAATTATTTTGTAAAAGACAACACTATAATAACAACATATGACATATGACATTACCATAAACAGAGATCTAGAAACAAAGGTGCTATATATATATATATATATATATATATAACATACTCAAAAAAACACACAAATCCAAATCGATCAAGACGATGGAGTAGTCTCATCCGATAGCTCTTCACGTAAGACATGGCTGAAATCATCTCTTCCTTTACCATTAGGATTCTTCTTCCATTCCATTATTTTCTTAAACGACTCTATAAATTTATTCATATGCAATCGTTTCCATTCCTAAAATATATTCCAATGTACCATTTCTCAATGAGGATCTTAAGTAACAAAATAAAACAAAAAATGGGTAAAATCATCAAACCTCGAAATCCCATTCTCCACACATATCACGATCATCCTTGTTGATCCACATATACGTTTTCACTGGCATCTTCTCTAAATTGTCCTTCAAAATGCATAACAAAAACATCATAATTTCATAATCTTTAAATTATTGTGTTTTATTTTCTTGAAACAATGAAAACACAACATTTTGTAATAGTCTTTAATTAAAACTTACATTTCGTACAGCTCCAACTGTGACTCTCTCATACTCATTGCCCTCAACAGCATCTAAATTCTCAAGTTCATCACTTGTTAATCCCATTAGTACCTACACACAACCAAAAAACCCACTATGACCAAAACACCTTAAATTTTCCCAAAATACGTTTCATAGACACAAACCAAAACCTTTCCATGAACTTCTCCTTTCTCAGATGGAACAATACATGGATACAAACGTCCTTTAAGCCTAAACCTCTCGCTGAACAAACAAAAAAACTTCCATCAAATCTATATATAAAGAGATGAGATTATTCAATGAAGAAAGGTAACGTACAAGCCAGGGAGTGTTGCGGAGACGATCTCAGGAGTACGTTGAAGCATGACGTTGATGACATCTGGCTCTTGAAAGCTACCATAGACGAAGACATTGTGATGCTGAGAACCAGAGCTATTCATCTTTTGTTATTTATGTGTTATTTAAGTATTACATGTTCATTTCTCTAATCAGAGTTTTGACTTTATATAACAACTTAAAAAAAAAAATGAAAATCTAAACACGGTCGATGATGATACCTATGGAACGAACAGTTGGCGGATCCAGCGTAAGAAAGACGTGGCACTGATTCTCTTACGACAGCGTTAGACTTTGACGAGTAGTGACACCAGTTAGTGTATTAAAAGTACTTCGTGTTCCGTTTTGTTTTCTTCTAATTTGTCGGCAATTATTTTGATACATATCTAATTGTAAGTTGTTTTTATTTTTTCACAATAACGATATAGTTATCTTATCTAATCAAAATTGTCTATATAGTTCAATAAGAATCTATTATACATACATAATTAGTGATCGTTAATTTTGACAAAAAAAAACAAAGTGTTATAGTTATCGTAATTACGTAATTCGTCTACCCTAAAGAATATTTGTTTTTGTTTTTTCCTAAAAATCACATATATTAACAGCTCAAAACTATAGTTTATACAGATTGAAAAGTTGAAGAATTTTGTACATTCCTGGCTGACTACAACAATGTAATGTAGAAATTATTGACTGCCAAAGGAATTCACCAACCGACCCGGCAGAAGCACAATAAATTTCAACCTTCTTTGTAATATAGAATTAAAAATGTGTCTCACTGATTTTTTTTCTAACAAAAACCATGGAGGCGAGAATTATATTAATTTTCATGTGTTATAAATATGAAATGAATCATAAAGAAAGAGAAAAAAAAGAGCCGATTTGAACATTACTCTTGACCGGTTTTGGAATCCTCAAAATTCAAAACTAATGTGTAGCAAGTAGCAAATTATGTAGCAGTAGGACACACAACATGGTTACATGGCAGAATCACGTACATACATGCATGCGTTCAAAACTAATAGAATCACGTACATACATGCATGCGTTCAAAACTAAGATTCGGTAGATATAGCGTTTGACGCGATGAATGCGTTGGGAACGGTAGCGTTTGCGTTTGCAGGACATAGTGTGGTTCTTGAAATCCAAGCAACCATTCCTTCAACACCTGAGGTCCCTTCCATGATTAATAACTTTTGCCGTTGGGAAGAAATCCATCTTTGGCCATTTCAGCAAGCACATCAAGAACTACATCCATATTCCCTTCTCTATGATTAATCTCCACAAGCACTTTGGCTTGCTCTGCTTCGCTCAATTCACAGCTTCTTAATACATTCTCAATCACACTATTCAATTCATCAACCTTCCCTTCCTTGTGCAATGCCTTAACCAGAGCAATCACTGTCACAGTATGGAGAAGGAATCCGGATTTTACCATCTCTTTGTATAGACTATATGCTTTGCGGGTATCTCCGCCTCTGCAATGGCCATGGATCATAACGTTGTATGCTGTTCCATCGGGTTTGTGGTTTTTCTCTAGCATGGATTCGAAAACTCGATCTGCTTCAGACATCATTCCTTTCATACAGAATCCTTTAATTAGAGATACTACGCTTTTGAACTCGATGTTACTGCAGTTTTCTATTAGTGTGTGATATGTGACATCGCTAGGGACTGAGTCTTCGTAGAACAGCTTGAGCAAAAGTCTTTTTGCTTCTCTTGTTCGGGATTGCTTGTTAAGCCCGTTAATAAGCACGCTGTAAGTGACGACATCAGGCAATACACCTTTCTCGACCATTTCATTGTGCAAGTGGAGCGCTTTTTCCAGATCGCCTTCCATACAGTAAGCATTGATCAAGGCTGTGTAAGTAAATTCATCTGGTGGAAGGCCAACTCTTAGCATTTCATTGTAAAGATCATAAGCTTCCTTTGTCCTTCTCTGTTCACAAAACCCTTGGATTAGAGATGAGTAGGTGACTGTATCAGGTTTAATACCTTTTTCAACCATTTCCCTCTTGACTCTAAGCGCCTCATCAACATCGTCACTTCTACAAAACCCAGATAATACTGTGCTATAACTCACTACATCCGGAGACAAACCTTTCTCCTTCATATCTTCGAGGACTGCTATTGCATCTTCCATTTTCCCAGCGACACTATGCCCATTTATCAGAGCATTATAAGTCACAACCGAAGGAGAAAACCCATTATCAGTCATCTCTTTCAAAACCCGATAGGCTTCATTCATATACCCCTTTTGGGAAAACCCATCAACCAGCGTCGTGTATGTCCGCTCATTCGGACAAAGCCCTCTAACACGCATCTGATCAAGAAACTCAGTAGCCCGGTTCATATTCCCAGCCTTACACATACTATGTATCAGTGAAGTATAAGTGATAACACTAGGTGACAACCCATGTCTCAGCATCTCTGCATGCATCACAAGAGCTTGATGAAAGTTACCTTCTTTACAATAACCTTTAATAAGCGTATTATAAGTGACTTCATCAAGCGAATATCCTTTCTCATTCATCTCCCTAAGTACAAAACTTGTCTCCTTCATCCTCCCTTCTCTACATAACCCGTTAATAACGACATTGTAAGAAATCAAATTCGGCTCTAAACCCTTCAACGCCATTGATCTCAAAAGCTCAAACCCATCATCAATCTTACGCAACTTACAATACCCATCAATCAAAGTGTTGTAAGTAACAACATTAGGTAAATAACCTTTCTTCTCCATTCGATCGAAAAACCGCAGAGCAGCATCTAAATTCCCAGCAAAGCAAAACCCTCTAATCAAGATATTGTAAGTAAACACATTAGGAGAGACTTGGCTATCCAACATTTCCTTGAACACATCCTCAGCAAAGCTAATGTTTCTCTTAGATCTAATCGTAGCATCTAACACCGCATTGTAAGACAAAACTCCAGGCATAAAGCCATGAGCTTGAGCAAGACGAACAATACTCAGAGCCTTATCAATCAAACTCAAACGAGAGTAAGACTTCACTACCAAATCGAAAACAGAGGAAGTCGAATTGCACAAATCGTAAGACTCCTTTAGCGATCTGAAGACGAGGGAAGCATCTTCGTCGTCTAGGGTCTTGGCCGCGACATCTTCCGCGAGGGTTTGAGCTGTTTTGTAAAGTTTGAATTTGGTGAGGATGTGGAGAGTGATGCATTTGCAACGGAGAGTGAAGAATCGATGTGGGTTTGCCCAATTTAGGAACTTTAGGACTAATTCTTGATCGTTCTGAGATTTGAGGAGAAGATTCGAAGCTGCTTCTGGCGTGAAATTTGCAGAGAGGTGATGAAGCTGGTAAGGATGACGTCTGAGAAAGGTTACAGCTTTATCGGCAAGAAGTGAATCTGAAGAAGAAGCGAAGCTAGAGAACGATCGTCGAATTAGGGTTTTAGAGAGAAACATTGACGGATTTGAATTTAGGGGGTTTAGCCTTTTCGGAGGAGAAAAGCTCGCTCGAAGAAGACGATGCACAATTGATCGCAGCCATCCATTTGTGTTCTTATAAGATGTCATCTCAGCCGTCCATTGTGTTCTATCAAGATGTCATCTCAGCCGTCAATTTACTTCTGATAAAGATTTCATCTCAGCCGTCAATTGACTTCTTATAAAGATGTCATCTCAGCCGTCAATTGAGTTCTTATAAATATGTCATCTCAGCCGTCCATTGAGTTCTTATAAATATGTCATCTCAGCCGTCCATTAAGTTCTGGAATCTTGTAATTATTTTAGCTTATTACATTTGTTTAATACAAATGAGGATTAAATTTTGATAATAATATTCTATATAAAATATAATAATTTTCTAAAATATGAAAATAAATTTTCTTAAAATATGAAAATAAATTTTTACATTAAATAGGAATTCCTGTATTTTAGATATACAAATAGTCTAGATATAGATAAAAAAATCCATTTACAAATAGTCAAATGCACCGGTCATGAGCTAACAAATTGTACAATTGTCTTTTAGACATAAAAACAATTTCGAATTAAGTGGGATGACTGAAATGGAAATCATATTAAGAAAAAAATATCTTTTGTCAAATTTTCCTTCCTAAACCTACCAATTAAGGAATTAGTCAAAAAAATTGTAAATTTATCATCATCCAAAATATTAAATAAAAACCAAATATGTGGTCAAAGTTATCCAAGCATTTGTTTCGTGGTTATCTAAAAGTAAAAATGTAATATTATATATAACAGTAGTTTGTCATCTACTAATTCACAGTATTAGCGACGCAACATTTTTCTAGTTATTCTAAGAGTTAAATCAGGATTCGAGCGTCGTTCCAATGGCATCTGCTTTGTCATCTTTCAAAGTACACACCAACTCTTATCTTTTTTGCTTACTCTTATAACTAAGTATGTAGTTCAATCTTTGTCTTCACCATCAATCATCAATCTTTGTCTAACAAACATCAAAAGAGTTCTTAAAACATATGTGTGTGTGTATTATTTTTTAATTCTCTCTTCTTAGTTTTGGAGGAGACTCGTTTTAAATAAGATATTCACTTGTAACGTTTATTGCAGAGACCAGTTAATGGGGTTGGAGCAAACAATGCATTATCATTGAGAGAGACGCAACAAGAGGAGAGAAAGAGTCCATATCTTGGTGGTAGAGGACACTGGACACAGTCACAAGATCTCAAACTCATAGAGCTCGTGGAGGCTTATGGTCTTGACAATTGGGATCTCATTGGAGAGAAGATGCAAGCAAGAACAGGTAAGAGTTGCAGATTTAGGTGGTTGAACCAGCTCGATCCAACAATTAACAAGGCACCTTTCACTGTGGAGGAAGAAAAGATAATGGTATCAGCTCACAATTTCTATGGCAACAAATGGTCGAAGATTGCTAAACACCTTAAAGGAAGAACAGACATTGATGTGAAGAATCATTGGAACGTTCATATGAACAGAACCGCATGGAGAAGCCAAACTAAAACTAAGAAAAGATGTTTCACTGCCGCTCTCAATCCATATGGCTACCATGTTCCTGGTATGTGTCTTCTTTAAACTAAACAATCTCATTTCAGATCTCCATTAGATTTAGAACAGCACACAGTAAAAAGGGTTCAATTCTTGAACTTTCTTGATATTGTGTGGTTTACAGGTAATCCGAGTTATGAAGGTATCGGGATCAAGAAGAACTGCAGCCGCAATATGCGAAATGAGGAAACGACTAACCTCTATGCTCATCCTCGCATGCCAGTGCAACTCTCAGGACATCACCATCACTTCCCTATCTTTCCTGCAAGTGATTCCTTGGCACTATCCACACAGCTCTCCATCTCCCAACCATCATCATCACCAGAAGCAGCAGATGTAAAGATCAGAAAAACCCCGAAATTTATCGATTTTCTCGGGGTAGGAGATTCTTGAAGAAACGACTTAAGAACTTTGTAATCATGTAACCTTTAATCCCTATGATGAGAAACGACTTAAGAACTTTGTATTCATGTAACATAGCAAGGTTGCAATTTATACAAACAGAGAAAAGCAAGAGTTTGTATTTCTGTTGTAATTCTCACATCCTAACATTTGTTTCACTTTAAATTTCCCAGCCTTACACATACTATGTATTAGTGAAGTATAAGTGATAACACTAGGTGACAACCCATGTCTCAACATCTCTGCATGCATCACAAGAGCTTGATGAAAGTTACCTTCTTTACAATGACCTTTCTCATTCATCTCCGTAAGTACAAAACTTGTCTCCTTCATCCTCCCTTCTCTACATAACCCGTTAATAACGACACTGTAAGAAATCAAATTCGGCTCTAAGCCCTTCAACAACATTGATCTCAAAAGCTCAAACCCATCATCAATCTTACGCAACTTACAATACCCACCAATCAAAGTGTTGTAAGTAACAACATTAGGTAAACAACCTTTCTTCTCCATTCGATCGAAAAACCGCAGAGCAGCATCTAAATTCCCAGCAAAGCAAAACCCTCTAATCAAGATATTGTAAGTAAACACACTAGGAGAGACTTGGCTATCCAACATTTCCTTGAACACATCCTCAGCAAAGCTAATGTTTCTCTTAGATCTAATCGTAGCATCAAAAACCGCATTGTAAGACAAACTCCAGGCATAAATCCATGAGCTTGAGCAAGACGAACAATACTTAGAGCCTTATCAATCAAACTCAAACGAGAGTAAGACTTCACTACCAAATCGAAAACAGAGGAAGTCGAATTGCACAAATCGTAAGTTTCCTTTAGCGATCTGAAGACGAGGGAAGCATCTTCGTCGTCTAGGGTCTTGGCCGCGACATCTTCCGCGAGGGTTTGAGCTGTTTTGTAGAGTTTGAATTTGGTGAGGATGTGGAGAGTGATGCATTTGCAACGGAGAGTGAAGAATCGATATGGGTTCGCCCAATTTAGGAACTTTAGGACTAATTCTTAATCGTTCTGAGATTTGAGGAGAAGACTCGAAGCTGCTTCTGGAGTGAAATTTGCAGAGAGGTGATGAAGCTGGTAAGGGTGACGTCTGAGAAAGTTTAAAGCTTTATCGGCAAGAAGTGAATCTGAAGAAGAAGCGAAGCTAGAGAACGATCGTCGAATTAGTGTTTTAGAGAGAATCATTGACGGATTTGAATTTAGGGGTTTAGCCTTTTAGGGAGGGGTTTAGGAGGAGAAAGGCTCGGAGAAGACGACGAACAATTGATAGCAGCCGTCCATCGTGTTCTTACAAGATCTCATCTCAGCCGTCAATTGAGTTGTTATAAAGATGTCATCTCAGCCGTCCATTGCGTTCTTATCAAGATGTCATCGCAGCCGTCAATTTAGTTGTTATAAAGATGTCATCTCAGCCGTCAATTGAGTTCTAGAATCTTGTAATTGTTTTAGTTTATTACATACATTTGGTTAATTCAAATGAGGATTAATTTTGAGAAAAAAATTCTTATAAAAATATAAATTTTAAAATATGAAAAATAAAATTCTACTTTTAATATGAATTCCTATGTTTTAGATATACATATAGTATATATATATACTAGTTTACTACCCGTCCGATGGACGGGTTATCTTTATTTAAAATTAAATTAAAATTAAAATTTATTATAACTTACAAGAAAATAATTTCCAAATTTTTTTTGAAAAAATAAGAGAAATTAATTTCATTTGGAAAGAGATTTTATTTGGTTTGAAGTATCAAACAAACGTATATATATATATCTCTCTCTAAAAATTCGTTATTAAACATTAATTATAAAAATCTAGTAATGTCAAATTGACAATCACCAAAACATTTGGGAGCTATTCACCATTAATCATAATATTGCTAAAATATTTAAAAAAAATCTTAATTTAGCAATTATCCTCTAAAACATGATTATACCATTTTGTAAAAAAATTTATTTCTTAACTTTCAATTTTTTTAAAAAATCATTCTCAGACTATGAAAATTAATTAATTATTATTTAATATGATGGTAAAGTTCTTTCACATTAACATCAATCTAAATAATGATGTTAAATACAAATATAGTCATTTGTAAATAAATTCATATAAACAACGCAAATAAACATAAAGATTCTAAAATAAATTATAGCATCGTTGAGGAAAACATTAAAAAATCTTTCAAATACGAATTATAAAAAACTACATATTTTCTTTAAAAATATTTTAAAATTACTATATTACGATTTATATTGAACTTTGTCAGCTTTAATTTAAGATAAAAAATATTATTTTCGAAAATCTTTTATTCACCCTTATGTTTTAGACAATGAAATTGCTCAATGGCATAATACATTTATAAATAAATTAAAAACTAAACAAATTTAACATATTATAAATAAAAATCATGAATAAAATTATGTATTTAGTTAAACTCAAAATCTAATTTATTTGTAAACTGTAAATCCTAAATCTCCTTTATGAACCCAAACTGATAAAAACCTTGTTTAATTGTAAAACCTAAATCTCACTCCTCTTTAATAAACTAAAACCGATAAATAATCTCGTTTAATTATAAAATTTAAACTATAATGCAGATTTATAAACTCAACATATAACCCTTATAATTGTAAAACCTAGAACTGGCAAAACCAAAAATTATGTTAATAGTTGAAAGAGAATTTTTGAGAAATATCACTTCTGGTGTACCCTTTTTTAAAAATACACCAATTTTCTATCATTTTTAAAAAAATATACCTTTTCAAATCTGGAAAATTGTAAACTTTTATATAGTTTATAAGATACATCTAGATTATCATTACTATTGGGAGACTCAATACAAATATTTATAAAGTTTTAAAAAGGTTCTAAACGGCATTTATAAGACTTTTATAAGGTTTTTATAAGGTTTACAGAGTTTTTATATGTTTTTAAAATAGTTTTTAAAAGGTTTTTAAAAGGTATTTATATGGTATTTAAATTTACACACATAGAAAGATAATTTGTGTCTAAATATATAAGCTTACACATTTTTTTTTATAAATATCAATTTTTTTACTTTTTAATTATCAAAAATACCCTTTTTCCATACCACTTTTTAAAAATATCCCTATTCCAAACTTCATAAAAAACCACTTTAAATGTTGAAATTTATCCAAATATGTGTGTAAACTTATAAATATACACACAAATTACCTTTATATATGTTTATATTTTTATATATATTTCATAAATAGCGTAAAATAAATTATAAATACCTTTTAAAAACCACTTAAAAACCTTATAAAACTTGTAAAAACTATTTAAAACCTTTTAAAACAGTATAAAATATTTGTATAAAATTTCCAAATAGTAGTTATTATAAAGAAGTACCTTATAAACCATATAATACTTTAGAATTTTTCATATTTAAACATGGATATTTTTGAAAATGGATAGATAAAGGAGATATTTTTGAAAAGGGGTACACCAAAAGGGGTACACCAAAAGGGGTATTTCTCAAAAATTCTCTTTAATTTTTTATAATTACTTTTTTTACTGTTGTTTAAAAATTCTATTTGTATCTTAATATTAACAAAATTAGATAAAACATGTTGCGACATCTTATGTTTTTGCTTGACACTTATCATGGTCACGTGAGTTAGTAAATTTAAAAACTAAGTTTCGACATATAATCTCGTTTAATTGTTAAAATTAAACCATAATTTTAATTTATAAAGATAAACCATAATTCTTATTTATCATTTATATACCCAAACCAACAAATAACCTGATTTAATTGTAAAATTAAAGTTTAAACCTTAATCCTCTTCTGTAAACAAAAACCACCATATATTCTTGTTAATTATATATTTTAAATCCCTATCTTATTAATAAACCAAATTGACATAACTGAAATTAGATTATTTGTTTAATTTTATTAATAATTTTTAATATATAATTCTTTATAATATTTAGTTTATATATTTCATTTTTCGATAGGATTAATAATATTTCTATTTTATCCAAATATTAACTAAATTAGTTACGACACGTGTCAACATCTTATCGTTTATAATTGACACGTGTCATGATCTTCTTTATAATATTTATTTTATATATTTCATTTTTCGATAGGGTTAATAATATTTCTATTTTATCCAAATATTAACTAAATTAGTTACGACACGTGTCAACATCTTATCGTTTATAATTGACACGTGTCACGATCTTGTTAATGGCTGACTTTGAAAACCAAGGTTTATATAATAAGATATATTGTCATATAGTATATATATATATATATATATATATATTTTGTCATATAGATAAATTTTTTTTTATAAATACACCATAGTCATGAGCTATTAAATTTTTCAATTTTCTTTTAAGAATTAAAAAAATAAGAATTAATTGAGATAACTCAAATTGAAACCGTATTTAGAATGTAATAATTTTCAAAAACATTTCCTACGTAAACCTACCAATAAAAGAATTAGTCAAAATATGTGAATTTATTATCATCCAAAAGTTATTATACACCAAAAATGTAGTCAAAAGTATCAAAGCATTTGTTTTGTGGTTATCTAAAAGTAAAAATGCTATATTATATATATAGTAGTAGTAGTTCTTCATCGACTAATTCACAGTATTGGTGAGCTCCATTTTTCTAATTAACTAAGAATTAAACTGAGATTCGAGTGTCATTCCAATGGAGTCTACTTTGTCAGCTTTCAAGGTACAAACAAAAAATATCTTTTTGGCTTACTCTAGTTCAATCTTTGTCTTCACCATCAACCATCAATCTTTGTCTTCACCATCAATCATCAATCTTTGTTTAACAAACATCTTTTGAATTGATATTATAAACAAGTCAAAAGACTGAAACTGTTCTTAACATATGTGTGTGTGTATTTTTTTTTCAATTCTCTCTTATTAGTTTTGGAGGAGACTCGTTTTAAATAAGATACACTTATGATGTTTATTACAGAGACCAGTTAATGGGGTTGGAGCAAACAATGCATTACCATTGAGAGAGACACAACAAGAGGAGAGAAAGAGTCCATATCGTGGTAGTAAAGGACACTGGACACAGTCACAAGATCTCAAACTCATAGAGCTCGTGGAGGCTTACGGTCTTGAGAATTGGGATCTCATTGCAGAGAAGATGGAAGCAAGAACAGGTAAGAGTTGCAGATTTAGGTGGTTTAACCAGCTCGATCCAACGATTGACAAGACACCTTTCACTGTGGAGGAAGAAAAAATAATGGTATCAGCTCACAATTTCTATGGCAACAAATGGTCGAAGATTGCTAAACACCTAAAAGGAAGAACAGACATTGATGTGAAGAATCATTGGAACGCTCATATGAACAGAACCGCATGGAGGCCAAAAACAAAACCTAACAGAAGATTATTCACTACCTCCCTGAATCCATATGGCTACTCTGTTCCTGGTTTGTGTCTTCTTTAAACTAAAACAATCTCATAGATTCCGTTTCAACTCTCTAATAGATTTAGAACACCAAACAGGACAAAAGGGTTCAATTCTTGAGTTTTCTTGATATTGTGTGGTTTACAGGTAATGTGAGTTATGAAGGTATCGGGATCAAGAACTGTAGCAGTAATATGCGAAATGAGGAAACGACTAACCTCTATCCTCATCCTCGCATGCCAGTGCAACTCTCTGGTCATCACCATCACTTCCCTATCTTCCCGGCAAGTGGTTCCTTGGCACTATCCACAGAGCTCTCCATCTCCCAACCATCATCATCACCAGAAGCAGCAGATGTAATGATCAGAAAAACCCCGGAATTTATCGATTTTCTCGGGGTAGGAGATTCTTGAAGAATTTGTATTCATGTAACCTTTAATCCCTATGATGAGAAACGACTTAAGAACTTTGTATTCATGTAACATAACAAGGTTGCATTTTTTACAAACAGAGAAAAGCAAGAGTTTGTATTTCTGTTGTAATTCTCACATCCTAACCTTTGTTTCACTTTCAATTTCCAGCCTTACACATACTATTTCCCAGCCTTTCGGTATCCAGGTTCATATTCCCAGCCTTACTCATACTATGTATTAGTGAAGTATAAGTAAGTGATAACACTAGGTGACAACCCATGTCTCAACATCTCTGCATGCATCACAAGAGCTTGATGAAAGTTACCTTCTTTACAATGACCTTTAATAAGCGTATTTCAAGTGACTTCATCAAGCGAATATCCTTTCTCATTCATCTCCGTAAGTACAAAACTTGTCTCCTTCATCCTCCCTTCTCTACATAACCCGTTAATAACGACATTGTAAGAAATCAAATTCGGCTCTAAACGCCATTGATCTCAAAAGCTCAAACCCATCATCAATCTTACGCAACTTACAATACCCATCAATCAAAGTGTTGTAAGTAACAACATTAGGTAAACAACCTCTCTTCTCTATTCGATCGAAAAACCGCAGAGCAGCATCTAAATTCCCAGCAAAGCAAAACCCTCTAATCAAGATATTGTAAGTAAACACATTAGGAGAGACTTGGCTATCCAACATTTCCTTGAACACATCCTCAGCAAAGCTAATGTTTCTCTTAGATCAAATCTTAGCATCTAACACCGCATTGTAAGACAAAACTCCAGGCATAAAGCCATGAGCTTGAGCAAGACGAACAATACTCAGAGCCTTTTTAATCAAACTCAAACGAGAGTAAGATTGTACTACCAAATCGAAAACAGAGGAAGTGGAATTGCACAAATCGTAAGACTCCTTTAGCGATCTGAAGACGAGGGAAGCATCTTCGTCGTCTAGGGTCTTGGCCGCGACATCTTCCGTGAGGGATTGAGCTGTTTTGTAGAGTTTGAATTTGGTGAGGATGTGGAGAATGATGCATTTGCAACGGAGAGTGATAATCGATGTGGTTTTGCCCAATTTAGGAACTTTAGAACCAATTCTTGATCGTTCTGAGATTTGAAGAGAAGATTCGAAGCTGTTTCTGCAGTGAAATTTGCAGAGGTGAGGGTGATGTCTGAGAAAGGTTAAAGCTTTATCGCCAAGAAGTGAATCTGAAGAAGAAGCGAAGGGTGATGTCTGAGAACGATCGTCCGATTACGGTTTTAGAGAGAAACATTGACGGATTTGAATTTAGGGGTTTAGCCTTTTAGGGAGGGGTTTAGGAGGAGAAAGGCTCGAAGAAGACGACGAACAATTGATTGCAGCCGTCCATCGTGTTTTTACAAGATCTCATCTCAGCCGTCAATTGAGTTGTTATAAAGATGTCATCTCAGCTGTCCATTGTGTTCTTATCAAGATGTCATCGCAGCCGTCAATTGAGTTGTTATAAAGATGTCATCTCAGCCGTCCATTGTGTTCATATCAAGATCTCATCTCAGTCGTCAATTGAGTTGTTATAAAGATGTCATCTCAGCCGTCCATTGCGTTCTAGAATCTTGTAATTGTTTTAGTTTATTGCATTTGGTTAATTCAAATGAGGATTAAATTTTGAGAAAAAAATTGTAAATTAAAATAATATATTTCTTAAATATGAAAAATTAAATGCTACTTACTTTTAATAGGAATTCCTGTGTTTTAGATATACAAATTGTATATATATATATATAGATAAATATCTTAGATATACACCACAGTCATTAACTAATAAATTGCTCAATTGTCTTTTAAGCATAAAAACAATTTAGAATTAAGTGAGACAACTCAAATTGAAACCATATTTAGAAGATAATAATCTTCACCAATGTTTCTTTGTAAACATACCAACAAAGGAATTAGTCAAAAAGAAAGTGAATTTATCATCATCCAAAAATTAGTATAAACCAAAAATGTAGTATTGAAAGCATTTGTTTTGTAGTTATCTAAAAAGTAAAAATGATGTACTATATATAATAGTAGTAGTTCTTCATCTACTTATTCGGCGGTCCTCCATTTTTCTAATTAACTGAAAATCAAACCGGGATTCAAGTGTCATTCCAATGGAGTCTGCTTTGACAGTTTTCGAGGTAGAAACCAAATCATATCTTTTTGCTTAATCTAGTAAAACTAAATATGTAGTTCAATACTTCACCATCAATCTTTGTCTTCACCATCAACCTTTGTCTAACACACATCTTTTAAATGGATTTTATAAACAAGTCAAAGAACATATGTGTGAGAGTGTGTGTTTTTTTTTTCTTTATAATTCTCTCTTCTTAGGTTGCATATTATGGATCTGTTTCTGTATATATGTAACATAGTTTTGGAGGAGACTCGTTTTAAATAAGATATACACTTGTGACGTTGATTGCAGAGACCAGTTAATGGGGTTGGAGCAAACAATGCATTACCATCGACAGAGACGCAACAAGAGAAGAGAAAGATGTCATCTCGTGGTGGTTTAAGACACTGGACAGAGTCAGAGGATCTCAAACTCACAGAGCTCGTGGCGGCTCACGGTTTTGACAATTGGGATCTCATTGGAGAGAAGATGCAAACAAGATCAGGTAAGAGTTGCAGAGTAAGGTGGTTTAACCAGCTCGATCCAACGATCAACAGGGCACCTTTCACTGAGGAGGAAGAAAGGATAATTGTATCATCTCACAATTACTATGGCAACCAATGGGTTAAGATTGCTAGGCACCTCAAAGGAAGAACAGAGAATGATGTGAGGCATCACTGGAACTATCATTTGAACAGACCCGCACGGGGGAGCCATATTAAACCTAAGACAAGATACTTCACTCCCCCCATGAATCCACATGGCTACCCTGGTTTGTGTCCTCTTTAAACTCTCCATTAGATTTACAACACCACACATGACAACAGTTTTCAATTCTTGAACTTTCTTGATATTGTTGTGGTTTACAGGTTATGAAGGTATCAGGATCAGGAAGAACTGTAGCAGTAACGAGGAAAGGACTAACCTTTATGCTCATCCTCGCATGCCAGTGCAGCTCTCAGGTCAAAGGAATAACCTCTGTGCTCATCCTCGCATGCCAGTGCAGCTCTCAGGTCAAAGGACTAACCTCTGTGCTCATCCTAGCATGCCAGTGCAGCTCTCAGGTCATCACCATCAGTTCCCTATCTTCCCTGCAGGTGGTTCCTTGGCTCCATCACCATCCACACAGCTCTTCGCACCATCACCATCACCAGAAGCAGCAAATGCAATGATGAGAAGAACCCCAAAGTTTATAGATTTTCTCGGGGTAGGAGACTCTTGAAGAAACAATTTAAGAACTTTGTAATCATGTAACCTTTAATCCCTATGATGAGAACTCTCTGTTAAGCATCAACATAAAAAGGTTGCATTTTTTTGTTTGTATTCCGGTTTCGGAAGGTTAAATTAAAGTCTCAGTGACTAAATAAAGTTTTTGATTTTCTATTTTTCGAACTTCCAGTTAAACAGAAAGAGCACATTTATCACAAGAGCTTCTATATGAAACTGAAATCCTAAATACAAAGCTAAAGAATCTAAGAGTCTAAGATTTTCTACCAATTCTTGATCGTTCTTAGATTTGAGGAGAAGATTCGAAGCTGCTTCTGGAGTGAAATTTACAGAGAGGTGATGAAGCTGGTCTGAGAAAGGTTAAAGCTTTATCGGTAAGAAGTGAATCTGAAGAAGAAGCGAAGCTAGAGAACGATCGTAAAATTAGGGTTTTAGAGAGAAACATTGACGGATTTGAATTTGGGGTTTAGGAAGAGAAAGGCTCGAAGAAGACGATGTACAATTGATCGTAGCCGTCCAACGTGTTTATACAAGGTTTCATCTCAGCCGTCCATTGAGTTCTAATTAAGATGTCATCTCAGCCGTCCATTGAGTTTCTAGAATCTTGTAATTGTTTTTGCTTATTACATTTGGTTAATACAAATGAGAATTTAATTATTAAATTTTGATAAATAAATTCTAAATAAAATAAAAATTTTCTAAAATATGAAAAATAAAATTCTACTTTAGATAGGAATTCCTGTGTTTTAGATATACACCACATTCATGAGCTAATAAAATTTTCAATTGTCTTTTAAGCATAAAAACAATTTAAAATTAAGTGAGATAAATCAAATTGAAACTATAGATAGAATGCAATATCTTTTAACAAATAGTCCTTTGTAAACATACCAATAAAGGAATTAGTCAAAAAAAAATATGAATTTATTATCATCCAACAATTAATGTAAACCAAAAATGTAGTCAAAAGTATCAAAGCATTTGTTTTGTGGTTATCTAAAAGTAAAAATGATATACTATATATAATAGTAGTAGTTCTTCATCTACTTATTCACAGTATTGACGGCCCTCCATTTTTCTAATTAACTGAGAATCAAACCGAGATTCGAGTGTCATTCGAATGGAGTCTGCTTTGACAGTTTTCGAGGTAGAAACCAAATCATATCTGTTTGCTTAATCTAGTAAAACTAAATATGTAGTTAAATAGACTAAAGCTGTTCTTTAACATATGTGTGTGTAGTGTATTATCTTTAATTCTCTCTTCTTAGTTTTGGTGGAGACTCGTTCTAAATAAGATATTCCCTTGTGACGTTTATTGCAGAGACCAGTTAATGGGGTTGGAGCAAACAATGCAGTACCATTGAGAGAGACGCAGCAAGAGGAGATAAAGATGTCAGCTCCTGGAAGTAGAGGACACTGGACAGAGTCACAAGATCTCAAACTCAAAGAGCTCGTGGAAGCTCACGGTCTTGAGAATTGGGATCTCATTGCAAAGGAGATGCAAACAAGAACACCTAAGAGTTGCAGAGTAAGGTGGTTTAACCAGGTTGATCCAACGCTAAACAGGGCACCTTTCACTTTGGAGGAAGAAGATATAATAATATCAACTCACAGTTACTATGGCAACCAATGGGCAAAGATTGCAAAGCACCTCAAAGGAAGGTCAGAAAACGATGTGAAGAAGCATTGGAACCATTATGTGAACAGACCTGCATGGAGAAGCCATACTAAAACTAAGAAAAGTTTTTTCACTGCCACCCTCAATCCATATGGCTACCATGTTCCTGGTTTGTGTCTTCTTTAAACTAAACAATCTCATTTCAGATCTCCATTACATTTAGAACATCACAAGGGTTCAATTCTTGAACTTTCTTGATATTGTTGTGGTTTACAGGTAATCCGAGTTATGAAGGTATGCGATATGAGGAAACGACTAACCTCTCAGCTCATCACCAACAGTTCCCTATCTTCCCTGCAGGTGGCTCCTTGGCACCACTATCCACACAGCTCTCAATCTCCCAACCATCACCAGCACCAGAAGCAGAAGATGTAATGATCCGAAAAACCCCGAAGTTTATCGATTTTCTCGGGGTAGGAGAGTCTTCAAGAAACAACTTGTAATCATGTAACCTTTAATCCCTATGATGAGAACTCAAACATCAACATACCAAGGTTGCATTTTTTTTTTTGTATTCCGGTTTCGGAAGGTTAAAATAAAGTGTTTGATTTTCTATTTTTCGAACTTGCAGTTAAACACAAAGAGCACATTAATCACAAGAATTCTCTGAACTCCTATACAAATCTAAAGAATCTAAGAGTCTAAATTTTTCTGGCACAATCCAACATGTCCCCTAATGGTAAGGACTTAAACAGATTGAGCAATACTCTTAATCCAACTAGTGTTTGCCAATGTTTCTTTGAGCTCATCCATTATGAGGAGTCTAGTGGTTTCTAAATGCTCTCTACGGGACTATTCGATCTCATCCAAGTTGTGTATATCTATTACGTAACATATATATAGCTGTCAAAATAGATTATCCATGTTCTAACATTGTCCATTTTGATTATGTAACATAACATATACATAATATAATGAAATGTGACATGTGTATATGTAACATAATATGTGCATCTTACAAATAAACGTTATAACATAATATGATATACAGTCCAAATATTGTAATATAACATATATGTTCCAATGTAAGTTACATTTAGTTGAAAAAATATTCTGACAATGAAATTCTAAATCCAAAATAATATTTTCGAAACTATGCCATAATATAATACTTTACATAGGAGTGTATATATATATATATGTGTATATGTATAGAAAAAATCCAATTACGAACACACCATTGCCGTGTTCTAATAAATTGTATAGCTTTTTTCAAAGCATAAAAACAAATAGAGTTAAGTTTTGTAACTGTAATTAAAACCATTATTTAGAAAAAAATCTTATTCCCAAATTTTCCTTTAGAAACCCACCAATGAAAAGCACCAGTCAAATCTTTTTAAATTTATCAATTATTATTTGGGTAGAGTGTTAGAAAAAAACCAAAAATGTATTAAAGCATTTGTTTTGGTGTTATCTAAAAGTAAAAAAATGTTACATATATATATATATATATATTAGTAGTAGTAGTTCTTCATCTACTATCTCATTTGCAGCACCACATTTTTCTAATTAACTAAATCAAACCGGGTTTCGAGTGTCATTACAATGGAGTCTGCTTTGTTAGCTTTCAAGGTACAAACCAAATCATATCTTTTTGCTTAATCTTGTAACTAAGTATGTAGTTCAATACTTTCATCATCAATCTTTCTCATCACTCTTCACCATCAATCATCAATCTTTGTCTTACACACATATTTTAGATTGTGTTTATAACCAAGTCAGAAGGCTGAAACTGTTCTTTAACATATGTGTGTGTGCGTGTGTGGTTTACTGGCTTTTTTATATATATTTATTTCTCTCTCTTTAAGTTTTCATGTAGAAATCAAACTATGTACTATGTAACACAGTTTTGGAGTAGACTCGTTTTGATAAAAGACCCTTGTGACGTTCATTGCAGAGACCATTGAATGGGGTTGGAGCAAACAATGCATCACCATTGAGAGAGATGCATCAAGAGAGCACGGTGCAAAAGAAGGTGATTCGTAGAAAAGACCGGTGGACAGATTCAGAGGAACTCAAACTCAAAGACCTCGTAGGGCTTTACGGTCTAGACAAGTGGAAAATCATTGCAGAGAAGATGCAAACAAGAACAAGTAAAAGTAACAGTTTTTGTTTTTTTTTCGTACTTCACATGAAACTTGAATCTTTTTTTTTTTTCTTGTTTTCGTGTGTGTTTGAAGGTAATAGTTGCAGAATGAGGTGGTACAACGAGCTCAATCCAAAGACTAACCAGGCAGATTTTACTGAGGATGAAGATGAAGTGATCCTTGTAGCTCAAAGATTATTTGGTAACAAATGGTCAAAGATAGCTAAGCTTCTCGAAGGAAGAACAAACAATGATGTGAAGAATCGTTGGAGAGTACTTGTCACGAACCGAAGCTTCACGAGGCAATTACAATCGAAGTTAAGCAATCTCGCTGCCCTCGTGAGACAACATCCGCACAAACTTCTTGCTGGTTTGTGTCTCCCTATAAACTAAACCTCATATTTCAAATCTTCAATAGATTTAGAGCACCACACAGCCAAAAGGGTTCACTCTGAGTTTTTGATGTTTTTTTATGAAGCTATGGACGAGTTTCACAACTACCGCAGTAATATGCTAAATGAGGAAACTACTAACCTCCATGCTCAGTATCTCCAAGAAGAGAACAATTCTTCACGCATGCCAGAGCAACACTCAGGTCATCATCATCACTTCTCTACCATCTTCCCTGCAGATCCCTTGGCACTATTCACGCCTCATGTTTCCATCCCTCAACCACCACCACCACCACCATCAGCACCATTCTCACTACCATCACCAGGAGCAGCAGATGCAATGACCAGAAAAACCCCAAAATTTTTCGATTTTCTCGGGGTCGGAGATTCTTGAAGAGATTACTTAAGAACTTTGTAACTGTAACCTTTAATCCCTATGATGAGAACTCTGTGAAACATCAACAAGGTTGCATTTTTACAAACAGTGAAAAGCAAGAGTTTGTATTCCGGTTTCGTAAGGTTAAGATAAAGTCTGAGAGTGACTAAATAAAGTGTTTGTTTTTCTATTTTTCGAACTTCCAGTTAAACACAAAGAGTACATCTATCACAAGAATTTCTAAGCTCCTATGTAAAACTGAAATCCTAAATACAAAGGAATCTAAGAGTCTAAGATTCTGGAAATCCAACATTTCCACAAAAGGCAAAAACTTAAACAGCTTGAGCAATACTCTTAATCCGACTAGTGTTTGCCAATGATTCTTTGAGCTCATCCATTGTGAGGAGTCTAGTGGATTCTAAATGCTCTCTACGGGAATCATCAATCTCATCCAAGCTCAGTTCCTTCAACAAAAACTGTGTTCCCACTGCATTTATAGTTTTCTCTATAAACACAGATCGTTCAATATAATCCTTCATTCTACAAACGAAATCTGTGTGATCTCTTTCCTGCAATACTCAAATGCAGCTAGACATCAAAAAACTGCGAGACTGATAACTAAACTATACCAAATCAATGAAGACATCTAGACTGAATAGAAATCTTACCAGACGGTACTGAGGCACTCTTGAAGGCAGCTTAAGATAAGCCATGTTATTCTCATTATAGTCCCATAAAAACGATGTATGGTGAATCCATCTATTCCTCGTTATCGATTGAGCATTTCCACCAAACTTACGATCACCGAAAACATAATCTGAAACCCCGAAAAACAAACAATCAAAACGTAAACTTTCAATGTGCCAACAGATGAAAACACACAACAACATCATCAGTGTTCCAACAAAGCAAACAAACCGTTCTCACGCAGCTGAAACCCGCTGATCCCGTTGAACACATGGCTATACAAGGAACCACTCCAAGCCATAACAGAGCGTGGATAAGGCTGAACATTAGGAACATCATCTCTATTGCAAATCAAACTCACAAAAACAGTACTTTCATCAACAATCACAGTTCCTCCACCAGTAAATCTCTTAATAACAGGAATCCCATCTTTCACAACAGGTTCAAGCTCAACAAGTTCACAAGGCTTCCTAATGTAAAACAAAAAAAAAAACTTCACATTCTCAAAACAAAAGATCACATTTTTATAACCCAGAAAGAAAAAAAGAAGCTTTCTTTACCCTGACATCCCCATGACAATTGTAGGAACATTGGTTCCGTCGTTGATGATACACCAATTCTCAAAAGAAGATCTAAGTAGCCTTTCTTCTAAAACCAATTGCTGCAAAATCGGTGTTCCTCTAAGCTTAACGATATTCATCAATGGAAGCCCTAGATCTTTGAATCCATTCACAATCATCTTTAAAACCCTAAAGTTGTCGACTTTTTCCACCAGAATCACTGAGAAAACAATCCAATTTGCTCAGACGTTGGTGGATCGTTAGAAACATCTCAGAGAAACTTCGATGATTCGATTCGGCTTAAATGAGGAATTAGACCCTCATCTTCATATAAAACACAGAAAACCCCCTAACCTTTTTTGGTGCACATTAAACCCTTCCAATTTAAACATAATTATTCAATTAAGACACAGCCAAATAAAATGTAAAATTAGTCAAAAATTCAATATATTTATTATTTTTACAAATATAATATTCAAAATTTTCTGCTTTTTGGCTTAATGAAAACATAACCAAATAAAATAAAGAATTATTCAACACTGAAAGAAATGTTAGCTCTATGTATTACTCTAATTAACGGTATTTCGCCAAAAGTAAACGGTAATTCAAAAAAATGGATATAGTCATATAAAATTGTATCTAGTAATAAATATTTATGGTTAACCTAAACACAAACTCCTCAAAATATGTTGACCCAAAAAAAAAAAATCTCAAAGAACATGATTGGTGGTTGTTGTAGGATAAGATTTTCTGCCCTAAACACATAAATCCATTATAAATTCACAACAACCCTAAGCAATCTCACATAAAAAACTATCATCTCTCTCTAGACATCTCTCTGAATCTCTCTCTAGACATCTCTCTAGATCTCTCTATCTCTCTCTAGAGCAGCTTTCACCATCTCCTGGAAAAACCTCAAAACACCCGGAAGTGGTCTTTCTCGATTTGTCGCTAGAGCTTGTGTCTGGCCGTGTAAACCCATCACACACAATTCCATTTTGTAGAAAAAATATGTCTCACCAACTTTAACTCCAGGGATTGAATCAACAATATACTTACACTTATAGGCACGTTCGTTGTTGGTACAATCTTGGATTGGGTGTGTGGTTACACATTATCTATCCTATGGAGATGTGTGTGCTGAGATTACACGACCACACACTAGCTTAAAAATTATATGTCATCATGCATCTAATTGTTATTTTTCATTAATATAGATTGAATATATGTATGATGCTTAATTATTTGCAAGTCTTTTACATGTAAGTGAGTAAAATTAAACACACATCAAAAACTGTATCTTGGTTTTCAAAAAACTAATCCGTAATAGAACTTCGTTAAACAATTATGGTTTTGACTCGTAAATCACAAGACCAAACACATGTCTATCCGGATGTGATCTCATATTTGTGGATCACAATATTTTAGTTAGACACATCTATTTGGATCTCATACTCAACGAATCACACGTCATATAACATATAATATCACAACCCTAGCTCAGTGTCCATCGATCATGGCGGCCATATATAAAACCTCAATGCTTTTTCACCAGTTGATAGTAAATTGATGGATTAAAAAACCATTAAGGCAAAGAATATTTAGACAGCGAAAGAAACATAGAGAACCAAAGTAATACTAAATATCTTTATACAAGAAACCAAAATTTTATAATTATAAATAAAAACTGTTAATCATAAATTAATAGTCGGTCATGTAAGTTGGTTAAGTCTAGCTGTGTTGTTTAAGGTTGATACAAGTCACTCCTTCGACGGTCCTCACTTCTGATCGGTGGTTGTTTCTTTCTAACTTAAATTTATACTATTAAAGGAGTAAATTAAAAAGAATATAATAATAACTATGATGTATATAGTTATCACATATATTTTATGTCTATCTCTTTAGTTACATATATATTTTGTAAAAGCGATGGCAGACTTGGCACAAGAATTGCGTTGGTTGAAGATATTGCTTGCTTGCTGCATCTGGTTTTCAACATGATTAACCAATGACAATGTGTTGCGACAGTAAAGCTGCAATTTTGCGAACAAACTAAATATATCAAAAATGATTGTCATTTTGTTCGTGACGACATTATGGCAGGCACGATTGCAACACGACATGTCTCCTCTGCTGACCAACTAGCAGATATTCTCACCAAGGCTTTGGCCGGCAAGGAGTTCAACTATTTTCTTCTCAAATTGCCATACAAAACTTATATGCTCCAACTTGAAGGGGTAATAGGATATGTATATATAGTTATCACATATATTTTATGTTTATCTCTTTAGTTACATATATATTTTGTAAACATGTATAAATACTTTGGCCTAGAGGTGTTCATCAATAAGATCGACAAATATTAAAACCTTAAGTCTAGTTTGTTATATAACATTGTGTTTTATAAAAAAATATATGTCATTGTTACTGGTTTTAAAGAAAAAGAATTATGTTATTGTTTTAAAGAAACTTACTAATTTTTCTTTTCAATACTAAATAATTTTATTGATTATGAATTTATTGTATCGTGATAAACTGATCCTTTGACCAAACAGGAAGATCCCTCACCACTTTATTCAGAACTGAAAACGCTAATATGGACTATGAAGAATATTCCAAGAAAGATTGACTGTCATATATATATTGGTTGTATAAGAAGTTCCAATATTATATTTTCTGTAGCTACAAACTAGTAATGGAAATAAATCAAATTGTTGACTGCTTTTTAGAATTTATCTTTAATGTAATAAAAATAATCTTGGTCTGAAAGTAGATAATTTAGTATCCAAAGTATAGCTAATTTTATGATTAATGTTTTGGTCAAATAAAGTATAAAATTAGTCAAGGAATTCAAGTATATTCTGAGAATTCTCAATCTAGTCAAACATTTTTAAATTATAGTTGACTATGCAATGTATAAAAAGGTATTAATTTTATTTGTATTAATGGTTTGGATGATATTTTCTATATCTATACAAATTTAAGAAAGAATATAAAATCTTCTTGTAGAAATAAATTTAATAATTTTTTTAGAAATACATAAAATAGAAAATATGTAATAATTATAATGTGTATATATATATGTCCACCTTTTAGAAATTATCTTTAATATATTAATAAAAATAATATAAAAATAATTATTTTTTAGCTAAATCAAAATAAAATTTCCTAAAATTACTAACTAGACAATGTATAGAGTTTTATATTTTAAAGACTCAAACTTCCTACACTAACGGTATTTCGCGGGAAATTAACGGTAATTCAAAGAATTATTATAAAGTAATAAAAACTTTAAGAAAATCTAAACACAAAAACTTAAAAATATATGATGATTGGTGGTAGTTGTGGATAAGATTTTCTAATTTATCATTTCACAATACAAATTCAGTATAAATACATTGAGCCACATTATCAAAAAACTATCATCTATCTCTCTTTCTCTCTAGAGCTGTGAGCTTTTTCACCATAGATTATGGTTCAAAGTTTTTTTAAATATCTTTTAGGATATAATTATTGTTTTTGTCTTACCTTCTTCGAGTAGGATTTGAAGATGAAAAAGTGACGGAAGAGAAAGACAAGAAATGTAAAGTTAAAAATAATTCAACACTGAAAATAATTCAACACTGATGAATGTGATGATAGGAAAGAGTGTTGGTCTACACTAATTTCCAGTCAAGTTTTCAGATTGCTCAACTGACGAGACATACAAGAGTATTATGTCTTGATCCATTTGAGCAATTTGAAAGTTTGATTGGAAATTAGTTTCGACCAAACACTCTTTCTTCTCTAATCATTCACATTCATCTGTAACAACGTTCAATATGAAATTGCCTTTTAAACAATACATTTTTTTTGTCTTTCTACACAATCGCAGTCACTTACGTCTTTGTATCCTTCTTGGAAATGTTATTACAAATTGTCCCGATTGTTATGTGTTTCACCATTGTCATCCTCATAATCTAAAAACTACAATGGTGGAGCAATAAATCATAGTTAATTAATTAAGAAATGAATCTTTGAAGCAATACATAATAACGTTTTTTTTCCTTTCACTATGATTTTCTTTTATAGCTAATCTATGAGATGTTTGGTTGAAGAGAGAAGGGTGATGTTGTATCGAAAAGATCTAACGTACAAATGACATTTGCCATGTACAAATATCTGATGTACAAATGATCTGATGATGATGTGGATTGTTATTTTTTTTATAAATTATACTCCCACTACCCGCGTGTATATATGGTATATCAATTTGGTGATTGTTTAGTTTGTTTTATCGAAAAGCAGGTATACTATATGTTATTATAAATGAATCGATGATAAAATGATTCCAAGACAAGAGTGAGCGTCGAGTTCATCTTTACGATATGTAATTGTAATGAAATATTTATAATTTTAGTTAAATTTATATATTTTGTTGTTTTAAAAAAAAATTATAACTCCGGTGGATAGAGATATCATGTGAAGCATTTAGCACGAATCAATATTTCCCGTGGAGCTTACTCTACGCTCCCACGAACTACTCAAGGAGTTTTAAGAGAGCTTGCCCTGATGCTTATAACCACACTTATGGCGATGAAACGAGCAACTTCACATGTGGCGGTGAATTGATATTTATTATTTCTATATAAAATTGTTTGATTTTGTATTTTAATTAAAGGTTGAAATATTTTTTTTCGTTAAAATCAATATTTTGAGAATTAATTACAATTTTTTAAGTAATATAGCTATTATGATGTCTTGAAGTTAACCCCAAAGTTTTCAAGTCGGTAAAAAAATGGCAAAATGTCATAAAAATCCCAAACTTTCAAATTTGGGACGATTTAATCCCAAACTTTAAATAAGTAATTTTAATCACAAAGTTTTGTTTACTTTTCCGTAAAATAGCTAAGTTTTGTTGACTTAGCCGGTTTAAACATGACGTTTAGTTTCTCTTAAAATTGCAAAGACGGGGTTAACTATCCGTGAGTTGCTTCCGTTTAAAACCACAAAACGACGTCGTTTAACAAAAACTGAATACGCTAAATCCCAAAATCGATTCATAATTCACAAATCTAACTGCATAACCCTAGAAAATCCAAAAATTCTATTTACTTCTTGCTGAATTGTTGCCATAGCGCGGACCCATGGAGAAAGAAAACGACTTCCAACGTCGTTTTGTCATCAAAGAAACATGGTCATTTAGGCTAAAGATAAGCAGCTCACAGATAGTTAACCACATCTTCAAGTTTTTAACAAAAATGCAATGTCATGCTTAAATAAGTGAAGTCAACAAAACATAGCTATTTTACGGAAAAATCAACAAAACTTTGTGATTAAAATGACTTCTTTAAAGTTCAGGACTAAATCGTCTCAAATTTGAAAGTTCAGGATTTTTATGACATTTTTCCCGTAAAAAAATTGATATAAACTATAATTAATAAGACTACAATTTGATGATATATAACTACACCATACCAATTGGTTTTAATTATTAATTATATATAGAAGATTTTGTAAAGATTGAAAATTATGGTTCTACTAGCTATCATATATCTCAATTAGGCATGTCAATTAGGGTTAAAGCCCGCGGGCTAGTCCGGCCCGGTCTTGAAAAACATTGGGGGTAGGGCTTAAATATATATGTCCAGAAAAAAACCGGGCCTTTTGATCTAAGCCCATTCGGGGTAAAGGGTTTTCTGGGCTTAACCCGGTCGGGCTCGGCCTGGCCAGAAAAGCACTAAAATAAGTATATTTTTGACTTTTTTAATATTTTAGTTTTTTTTTTTCAATTTATTTTAGTTTGAATAGAAGATTTGATTAATGAATTAATTTTCATATTTACTTACTTAATACTTTTAAAATCTTTATCTATGATATTTTTTATTATTAATATATGTCAACAACTAAACAAAGCTAAAATTAAATATAAATAAATAAATATATATATATATATATATATATATATATATATAAGTATCTTGATTTTGAAATCATCGAAGTATATTAAATTTTGACTCTATCATCTACTTTAAAGTTTAGTTCCATGTTTTATTGGGTTAAAGTGTAAATAATATATTTAGTTTTCATTTTTTTCTCTTAAATTAAGTTAGTTTTAATGAATATTGATAAGTTATTTAAATTTTGATACATTATTTTTTATAATATATTTTTAAATATTCTTTTTTTTAAACTATTATGAACTTAGAAGTTGATTTTTTTATCGGTAAATAAAGCCCAAAAAAGCTCGAAAAGCCCTGTAGCCCTGTTAGGGCCGGGCCGGGCTTTGAAATATAGGTCCAGATATTTTCCGGGCCGGGCCGGGCCAGGCTAAAATATATGAGGGCTTTACGGGTTTTGGGCCGGGCCGGGCCGGGCTAGCCCGATTGACATGCCTAATCTCAATCTAGTAAAAATTTTAATTGTTGTTGACTATGAAATATATAAAAGGTATATACTGGTTGTATTAGAAGTTCCAATGTTATATTTTTCTTTATCTACAAACTAGTAATGGAAATATATAAATCAATTGTTGACTGCTTTTAGATTTTATCTGTAATGTAATATAAATAATCAATTGAAATAAATCTAATGTTAACTGCTTTTATATTTTATCTTTAATGTATATATATATATATATGAACAATAATCTTGGTTTGAAAGTAGATAATTTAGTATTCAAAGTATAGCTAATTTTATGATTAATGTTTTGGTCAAATAAAGTATAATTTAGTCAAGAAAAATCAAGTATATTCTGAGAATTCTCAATCTAGTCAAACATTTTTAAATTATAGTTGACTATGCAATGTATAAAAGGTATTGATTTTATTTGTATTAATGGTTTGGATGATATTTTCTATATCTTTACAAATTTAAGAAAGAATATAAAATCTTCTTGTAGAAATAAATTTAATAATTTTTATAGAAATACAGAAAATAGAAAATATGTAATAATTATATTATATATATATATATGTCCACCTTTTATAAACTATCTTTAATATATTAATAACAATTATATAACTATAATTATGTTATAGCTAGATCAAAATAAAATTTTCTAAAATTACTAACTAGGAAATGTATTGAGACGTATTATTGAGATGTATATTCTAAAAATTCAAACTTCCTACACTAACGGTGTTTCGCGGGAAATTAACGGTAATTCAAATAAATATAAAGTAATAAAAGCTTTAAGAGAAATCTAAACACAAAAACTTAAAAATACATGATGATTGGTGGTAGTTGTGGATAATATTTTCTACTTTATCATTTCACATACAAATTCAGTATAAATACATTGAGCCACATTATCAAAAACACTATCATCTATCTCTCTTTCTCTCTAGAGCATGAGCTTTCACCATAGAAAATTAATTGTTTCAGAGTTTTCTTTTAATATCTTTTAGGATCTATTTATTGTTTTTTTCTTAACTTCTCTAAGTAGGATCTGAAGAGACGGAAGAGAAAGACAAGAAAATGTAAAGTTAAAAATGATTCAACACTGAAAATTGTTGTGGATGAATGTGATGATAGGAAAGAGTGTTGGTCTACACTAATATCCATTCAAGTTTTCAGATTGCTCAACTGACGAAACATACAAGTCGATACAAAGAGTATTATGTCTTGGTCCGTTTAAGCAATTTGACGGCTTGATTGGAAATTAGTTTCGACCAAACACTCATTCTTCTCTAATCTCTCACATTCATCTGTAACAACATTCAGTATGAAATCGCCTTTTAAACATACAATTTTTTTGTCTTTCTACACAAACGCAATCACTTTCATCTTCATATCCTTCTTGGAAATGTTATTACAAATAGTCTTGATTGTTATGTGTTTTACCATTGTCATCATCATAAAAAAAAAAATACAAAAAGAAAGGCTACAGTCTACACTATAGCATATTTAAAATAAATAAATAAAAAACTGTTGCGAGATAGGTCAAAGTCAAAGACACGAGTGAACCTTATTCATAGTCTCTCTGGTTACTTCGTGAAAGCAAAAGGAACAATTTTGAAGCCATGTCCGCTTTGTCTGTGATCGAACAACGACTGTTAAAGTGGAACAAAGTCGCATCTTTATTACCCAAACCAAACAAACCTCTTATCCCCATTGATCGTCTTAACGAGCTTTTGAAAGCCTGTGCTAATTCAAGCTGTCTAAGAACCGGCGAATCGATCCACGCTCATCTGATTGTTACGAACCAATTATCTAGAGTTAAGGACGTGTTTCAGATCAATTCTCTGATCAATCTCTACGTGAAATGCGGAGAAACTGTTCGTGCACGCAAGTTGTTCGATATAATGCCTGAGAGGAATGTTGTTTCTTGGTGTGCGATGATGAAAGGTTATCAGAATTCTGGGTCTGATTTTGAAGTTTTGAAGCTGTTTAAAAGTATGAATTTTTCTGGTGAATCGAGACCTAATGAGTTTGTAGCCTCTGTGGTTTTTAAGTCTTGTTCAACCTCTGGGAGGGTTGAAGAAGGTAAGCAGTTTCATGGATGTTTTCTTAAATGTGGTTTGATGTCTCATGAGTTTGTACGGAATACTCTTGTCTACATGTATTCATTGGGTTCGGATTCACGAGAGGCTATCCGAATTTTGGATGATCTTCCTTATTGTGATCTCCCTGTGTTTAGTTCGGCTCTTAGTGGTTATTTAGAGTGCCGTGCTTTTAAAAAAGGGGTTGATGTTTTGAGAAGGATGGCTTACGAAGATTTGGTTTGGGACAACATCACGTATTTGTCTTCTTTACGGCTTTGCTCCAATCTCAGAGATTTGGATTTGGGTCTGCAGATTCATAGCCGAATGATACGGTTTGGTTTCAACTGTGAAGTTGAGGCAACTGGTGCACTCATTAATATGTATGGAAAATGTGGTAAAGTCATCTATGCTCAGAGAGTTTATGATGATACACATGCTCAAAACATTGTCTTGAATACGACGATCATGGATGCTTACTTCCAGGATAAGTCTTTCGAGGAGGCTCTGAATCTGTTTGCAAAGATGGGAACTAAAGATGTTCCCCCTAATGAGTTCACTTTTGCCATTTTGTTGAATTCAATTGCCGAGCTATCGCTTCTAAAACAAGGTGATCTTATTCATGGGCTTGTTCTGAAATCTGGTTATAGGAACCATGTAATGGTTGGCAATGCACTGGTTAACATGTACGCCAAAAGTGGCAGCATTGAGGATGCAAGGAAAACATTCTCAGGCATGGCTTTTAGGGATATAATTACTTGGAACACATTGATATGTGGATTCTCACATCATGGATTGGGGAAGGAAGCACTTGAAGCCTTTGATAGAATGATGTATGCAGGAGAGATTCCCAACCGCATCACTTTTATCGGCATTTTGCAGGCTTGTTGCCATATTGGTTTTGTGGAGCGAGGGCTTTATTACTTTGACCAGTTAATGAAGCAATTTGATGTTCAGCCTGATATACAGCACTATACATGCATTGTTGGACTTTTGAGCAAGGCTGGATTGTTTGAGAAGGCTGAAAATTTCATGAGAACAGCTCCAATTGAATGGGACGTTGTTGCGTGGAGAACTTTGTTAAATGCTTGTTATGTTCGTCGGAATTACACTTTAGGAAAGCAGGTAGCAGAATATGCCATGGAGAAGTATCCAAAAGATTCAGGAATTTACATATTGTTATCCAATATCCATGCCAGGTCAAGGGAGTGGGAAGGCGTGGCAGAAGTGCGTTCTTTGATGAATAAAAGGGGTGTTAAGAAGGAGCCTGGAGTAAGCTGGATAGGGATACGTAATCAAACCCATGTGTTTCTTGCAGAGGAAAGCCGACACCCGGAGATTATGCTGATTTATGCAAAGGTGAAGGAAGTTTTGTCAAAGATTAGGCCATTAGGGTATTCGCCTGATGTTGCTGGAGATTTCCATGATGTGGATGAAGAAGAGAGAGAAGATAACCTCTCTTATCATAGTGAGAAGCTAGCTGTGGCATATGGTCTGATGAAAACGCCAGAGAACTCGCCATTGTACGTGACTAAAAACGTGAGGATATGTGATGATTGTCACTTTGCAATTAAGCTTATCTCGAAAGTCTCAAAACGATACATAGTTATCAGAGATTCCAATCGGTTCCATCATTTCCGAGATGGTAAGTGTTCTTGCTGTGATTACTGGTGAAGGTATCAATCGAAAGCTGATTAGTGTGATGGAGACCTCTTGCGCCTCTATTGCAACCTCGATTATCATAAGTAGTAATAAAAAAAGTTGCTATTCATTTTTTCAAGATCTCTAGTCATCAGTATCTAGGTGTAAATAGTGTCTAACAGTTCATTTTTCGTTAGGCTTAGCTTCTACGTTTTGGCAGATTATTCATATCTGAGAATTATTTCCAATCTCATTGATTTTTACGCTCTATTGGAGCTTTTGATACGAAAAGTTTAGATATTTATACAAGGTACTGTGACAACAATATAAACAGACACAATCTCACAGCGAGAAGAAAAGAAGTGCATAAATTGATAGACTGTTACTTCAGGAAATACGACTTCAGCAGAGGTTGTTCTCCATGAACTTCACAAATCCATAGAAATCGATTCTTCCGTCTTTACTTCCATCGAATGATCTGATTATTCTCCTGCAATTCTCAAGGTTAGTTCCTTGCTTTAAGCCAAGGACTGTCGAAACTCTTTGCAAATCGATTGGATCGAGAAACCCATCTCTGTTTTCATCAAAGACATCAAAAGCTTGCTTCACTTCATCCAAGCTTGGCTCTTTCTCTTCAAACAGATTGGAAAGCTCCTCGGAACTGTATCGTTTTTGAAGCCCCTCGCTTCCTGAGTCGGTGAGAAGTCCTAAGCTCTTCATCACCATCACTACATCTTCTCTGAAAAGACCGCCATCATCGTCATGATAATCTTCGCGTTTGATCGAAGTTTGGAACTCGAGATCTTTGCTCTTCTTCTCGGAAACACATTGCTGCTGGTGTTGAAGAAGAGGCCAGAACCTGGAGAAAAAAGTCTGAGCAAAAGAAACCCATCTGAAAAACCCGATGAGGAAGAAGTTGATCAGAGCAAACAAAGGGAAAGAAAAAGAAGATGACTGTTCGCATTTAGATAAAGAACTCTTCTTCTCCATGGTTATAAAGCTATAAAACTGGTTCTCAGTCATAACTTGATGTTAATGCTATATCTTGAAAGAAAGACTAAACTAGGCAAATGAAAGAATCACAAAGAATGTTATTGGAGGAGATGTGTGAGATATGAGTTTGATTCATGTCTATGTATATATAGATGAGGAATAAGTCAATGTGGACATAAGTTCTGGTGAAGAGGCAAAAGAGAGGAAGTTGCAGTTGGAAGAAGAGACCAAGAAACAAAGAAAGGGAAAGGGGAAACTTACAAAAAGACTTTAGTCGTGTAAAGATATGAATAAATTAACAAAGAGGAAATTTCTTATGCACCATTTTGATGGGAAGCTTGGTCAGGTCACTATTAAATTGTAGTATACACCTGTTTATTAGTTGTATTTAGGATTAAGGTTTTTGATTAGTGACTCCTCCTTAGTTTATGTTAAGAAAACTAAAAGAAATTGCACAAATTATGATATGGATTATATTTTTAGAGGTTTTATTTGAGTTTATATATGTAACCAAATCGACATATATTTTTGGTTCATGGTTTGAAATTGTCATTGTCGTGTGGTTCAGTTCATTCTTTTACAAGTCTTGGCTAATTTCTAAAAAAAAATATTCCAAAGGTGAATATTTTACTTTTATTCGGAATATTCACATTATGAAATTTTTTGTGGAAGTTTTGTCAAGACTAGTGAGGCATAGAGTTAGACTAAGAAAAAACATAAAAGCAAATGAAAATTATTATATAGGTAATTAATTTCCACAGTTAAGTAATCGTTTTCTTGCCATTATATGTGACTTTTTTGACCAAAACGTTGGAGTAATCAATTAAAAGTGATGACTTAATTCATACTCCTACTTATTATAAAGGAGATCAAAGTATATAAAATCCAAAAAAATAGACTTAAAAAATATATAATATTTAAATTTAAAATTCAGGATATTCAAATTATTTTTGTCTTAAAATATTTTTAAATATCAAATTAAAAAAAAATATATGGTATTTTATATTTTTAACTTCAATTTTATTTTACTGGTATCAATTATTTTTGGCAGATCCGGATCTATATAATTGTTTTACAGATCCGAATTCGAATTTGGATATCTCAAAATTCTAACGTATCCATCTAGTGATTGCAGATTTGAATAAGACAAACACATATTAATGTGACAATTGCAACTAATTTCCTAAAGTAAATTTCCTGGAAGTGAGCAAAGTAGGTAGTGGCTTTCTTTTTCATTTGGTGTTTTTCACAAATCTTTTTTTAATATTAATATATGCATATTTTTCTTATTTTTTATAAAATCAAAACGTTGTTTTCATTGGTTGTTTTGGTCAATATTATAATTCTAATATACAGCTGACTCTGTCAATCCATTCACATTCAGTGTGGGCTTTTAAAAATTCCTAAATTATACAAATATCGAACTAAGTAGTTGGCAGCTTGCAATATCTTCTTCTCTTCAAGTATCTAAAACTCCCATTTATGCATCAACCAAATTGCAACCATTAGCTTGCAATGAGGAGGATGTTGAATCATTTTCTCGTTATTCGTGATCGGGGATCGCGGCTTTGCTTATATGGAGACTTCGTTATATCTTTTTTAGATGATGATTTGGGTTGGTCATAAGGATGATGACTACACATCTACTAGAGCAAACCTGTTGATATGCGATGGTTGAACCTGACATCGCGGTCATCATCTAAGAAGCTAAAGCCAGATTTCTTGGTGTCACTAATTCTTAAGCATGATCCTGAGAAACATTCATCATATAGCATTGTTTCTAATTGTCTGTGAACATACAAACAAAGTCAAGACCGTGATTTGTAGCTTACCAAACAAAGAATCGGAAAATAAGTAAATTTCTTGCAAGATTTATTTAACTACAGATTTTGGGGTTTTCCATATATGATACAACAAACTTTTTTCACTCTGCAACCCAAAAAAGGGAACACTACTTCTCCCTCAGCTATGTCAACCACTATATATATACACATACACTGTGTATATATATTTATATATAGAGCTATATGTACAAATGGACTCACCTGTTTTCTTGGAACACAAGATTGAACCCCAAAACAATCAAATCAGCTTTCATAGGTTTTGTTTTCTCTTCTTTATGAGGTCTCATGGAAGTTTGTTGACCTAGAAAGAGCAGCAGGATTCGCCTGCAACTCCGGTCTTCTTCCCGGAAGACTGCTTTTTTCTTTGGTTGATGATCTGAAAGCTCCGAAAGTGTCTGCGTTTTCATCTTTCTTGATCCCTAGTGTTTCCCATATTGAACTCTTAGCAGCTTCCTCTGGATCGTCGACTCTCAGTGTCTTGGGAACCCACAAGCATCTCTCGGGTTTGCTTTTCTCTCTACCAAGTGACTCGGTTTCTTCAAAAGCGGTTCCTGGTTCAGCTGCACTCTCGTCACGTGAATGTTTACCTAGTGTTGGAGAATTTGGACCGGAACTAGATGGTGAATTGGGTTGCGGCATCCAGGTGAAGTTGTTCCATGCCCCTGGTGAAACTCCCGGGCAGCTCCAGTAAGCAGGTGGAGGGTAGAACGGTAGAACAGTCCATGAAACCCCGTTCCACGCATAAGGCCAAGTTGGTGGTCCAGGAAAGCATGGAACTTTTGGCAATGGGCTGATGACTGTTCCAGCCTCTTCATTCGACGGGTTTAAAGGAACAGTAATCTTCAAACCTTCATTCGGTTCTTGTAATACAGTTTGTGTTTTCAGCATTGACTTCTCAGCAAGATTCAATCCAGAAGCCATAGATTCACAGAGAACTGAATCAGAGCCAAAAGTGAGGAGGTTCGCACCATTAGGATGTTGAAGATCACTTCTCACCGCCTTCTGCATACCTTCCCCAGATGTTATGCTCACATGACGGTTATAATGAGAAGCCGGACTCTTGTTCTTGCGTCTCCCCGCACCAACGGGAACATTCCTCATCGTTCCACCAGCAGTCCAATATCTCTGGCATTTCTTGCAGAAATGGCGAGGTTGGTTAACATTGTAGTTATTGTAGTAACAGAACTTGGTTTCCATACTGTTACACCGCGGACACGGCAGAATCTTATCAGGTTTCTTTAACTTGGCCTCTTGAGAGCAAGCAGTACCACCCGACGACTCTTCATTCGTCTTCTTCGCAGCCTTTGTTGTTTCCGTTTTGTCAGTTATACCCGATGTCGTAGTAACATCATTAGATTCCTGCTTCAATGACCCTTCCTTACACTCATTATCTTTTTCTTCCTGAGAATAACATAAAAAACAAACTGATTCACAATGATATCCATAAGAACAAGACAAAGATCATTGTTCTGTATCCTAATCAAACAAATAGAAGCTTAAAGCTAGACGCAGCAGAGAAGCATCAAAGTATGTAGTTATACAATGAAACTAAACTACTAATTTAGTTGGTTTAGATTGAAATAAACCCTCAAAGTTCTTCAGCAATTCAATATATATGGAGAATTTAATTGGACCAAACAGACAAAACCAAATGGAAGGAACAGATTGAGATCTCGAAACACTTAATAAAAGAAAGAAAGAAAAAAACTCATTTGAGAATCCAAGATTTACAATTTGTTACCCAATCCCCAAAAAGAGGTGAATACAACAAGACCTAGTTCAACATAAACATACAAAAACAACACCTTTCCCAAAAAAAACACAAACTACAGATTAGGACCAATCTAAGATCAACCCATCAATCATTACCAAATAACAAATCATGTGTAATCATCAAAAACCAACAAAGGAAACGATTTCACAAATCAATAAAAATCTTACCTTTTTATCACTCTCGCTCTCTCCCCCTCCACCCATATCTTCATCATCATCATCTTCATCAGCACCGGTACACGAATCTGATAACCGGAGAGGATTCTGATCTTGATCCTCGGTTGTTAATAAAACACCGGTAAAGCTAGAAGAACAAGAAGAATCAACAACAACACCACCAAGCTCAGGTAAAGGAATCGTCTTTCCAAACAACTTAATCGCCGGATCAGCCATATTGAATGATTCCTTTTTCACTTCTTCTTCTTCTTCTTCTCCAGCGAGAAAAAAGCGGAAACTTTTTGAGAAGACAGAGAAAGAAAAGTTACAATTTTTATTTTGTGAAAAGAGAGAAGAGAGAGAGAAACGACTGTCTTGTGTTTCGGTGGTTGTCTGAAGTTTTTTTTGTTTGGTCTGAGGGATTTGTTTATTTGGCTTTGCGAAAGAGGAAAGAGAAGAAAAAGATTACACTTTTTTATTTTTTATTTTGTGTGATCTTTCGAATTGTGCAAGCTTTTGATTCGCCCAGAGTGCCACGTCATCACACGTGAGGCTTCTCAGCCACAAGTTTTTTGTTTTTTTATTTTAAATTTTTTGTGGACTTTTGTTTTCTCTTTTTCTCTTTTTCGTCTCGTTTTGGCTTTCTTTTTATTTTCCTTTTCAAGCTGGTCAGCACCCTTTTTATTTTTATTTTACTTTTTTCTGTATTTCATACTATTTTCTGTATTTCAAATGTCTTGTTAAATAATACTTTGGTTAACTAAAACGACCATTTCAAAAATGAATTTTTTTGAAATATTTAGTAGTAGTAGGAAATAATATAATATTTGTAAATATTTATTGATATCTAAAGTTATCACCGTAATTATTTTATAAAAGTAGATTCAAATATATTGTTGTTAAAAACAAAAAAAAAATTGTTGTTTATTGAGATGGAAAAGAATATGTAAAAGAATCAATTGTGTTTTTTTTAATAGCAATAAAACAGAGCATTAAGAATTTCAAAGTGGATTTAAGTATGATCATTATCTATTTTGCATTAAAAGTTGTATACAAGGTTTTTTTCCAAAGAATCCAATGAAATAATTTGATTACAAATCCGATCATCGATGTTTTGGAAAAGTTGAGATATCTTTACGTAACAGGTGCCATCAATACAAGAGTTTTGCTTTCGTAAAATAAAATAGATCGTCACCTAAATTCAAAAAACTAACAAGATAGCTCACTCTAATGTTAACATCTCCTTCTCAAACGTTCGAAACTTTCTCTCAGATTAGTAAATCAAATCTATGGTAAATTAAATATTAAAACTAATCTGGAACTTTTTTAACTATTTTAAAATTTGTTAAGCTCTTTTATTTGTTTTGTAGCGGTTAGATCAAGTTTCTCAAAATGCTCAAAAAATTCACAATTATTTTACTTTCATTTTTTGACATAATATTTGTAAATATCATAACAAACTTTATACCTTCAATCAAAAATCATCTAAAGTGTTATTAGAACTCAAAATCATTATAAATTTGTGTAAATACACCCTCTTATGGGTTTTTTACCGTCATTTTTACCAAGAATTTCCTAACACTTATTATTTAAACATGTTCAAAGCGACAAAGTATTTAGTGGAACTTCAGTTTCTTTTTTCCTGTCTTGTCATAAACAAAAAAAAAATTTGTAACAAATCAGAGAGATACGTGTGGCTGTAATAAGTCGATGTTAGAAGTTGTGGTTATTAAAGAACGCCAAGTCTATTTGGAAAAAGTGCAAATCGCATATGTGGATAAGTTTTATGAAACGCCAACTCGATTTGTCTTTGCAAAATAAAAGTGCAATTATGTGGATAAGTATCTCTATCTATCCATCTACCTTTATTTCAGATCCCAAATATATATAATATAAAGTTTTTTTCTTTGCATTTTTCATTTTAATATATTATCCCACTTGTAGGCACGACTGAGGAAAAGATTCTTGAGAAAACATATTAAATCATTTTCCAACTGTTGTTCCCTCGAGCCAAAGAAAACGTTTTTTTTTTTTTGCCTATTTTTTTTGCAGAACAATTTTGTCTTTTTAATTGTATAATAATTATAACTTATAGGAATTTTTGTTTAACATTCTCGAACTAGAATTTGAATGAATTGTATTGTCGAAACTGGCTAGGTTCATGAAGACACTTGGTGATCAAAGAAAACGTTTTGAGCTTCACTTAAAACATGTTAAAAAAGTTCTTCAATAATATTACTTGATCAATCTATTTGTACAAATTTAATTTTC